GGGCAGTTGTGGTCGGAGATCTGTGGAGACGGCTCCTATCCCAGGGCGATAGGATTATTGTTCTGTATTATTGTTCGTCAGGTAGCCCAAGATGTCAATGATAGTGTTGGGTCTGTGGATAAGATTATTATTGTTCTGTATTATTGTTCGTCAGGTAGCCCAAGATGTCAATGATAGTGTTGGGTCTGTGGATAAGATTATTCATGGCCATATGCATACGTTGTCTGCTTGATGGGTTCCCGGGGTACGAGTCCAAGGCTCTTTGCCATATATATATATATATATATATATATATATATATATATATATATACACACACACATACATACGTACATACATACATACATACATATATATATATATACACACATACATATACACACACACACACACACTTATATATACTTACATATGCTGACACACATATACACACATATATGCTTATATATATAGATAGATAGATAGATAAATAGATATTGTTTATGACTATAGAATTGTAAGCTTGTGGAATTTGTTACCAATTAAAGACTGAAATTTCATTGCGGAAAGTGCACTAGAAGATAATAAAAGAATTCGGATTAGATGGAGTTAATACATCTAGAATATTGACAAACATCGAGAGATCAAAGCGATTATTCTTATGAAAGATGAAATTAAATGGGGAAGATATTAGTTCCCAGAAAAAAAACAAAAAACAAAAAAACAATCAGTCTTTTGCAACCGTTTGGAATTAACATTTCAGCCAAAATATCTCCACTGTGCATAAATTAATTACCATCATCGTGATGAAACCCAATTTCAACTCGATATATCCATATCAACAAGAAAATGTATATTAGCACTGCCAAAATAACAACAGAACCCACACACCACCATGCCTCCCGTTTAGCAGCACTGGGACCATAAAACAAAATAGTCGTGCGATTTTTATTCTTGCAAAAATATATAATCTTTTCGAGCATCAAAAATATACATAATTTAAGGAGATCCCGTGAGGATTCCGGGGAAGGAGGCGTCGATCTCGCTCAGGACTCAGAGGGGGGCGCCGTAGGAGGCCGAGGGGGCGCTGGCGACGCCGTTGGTGCTGGGGGGCAAGGGTGAGGCGCCGTTGCCATTGCCGTTGCCATTCAGACCGCTTCTTCCATTGCCGTTGAGCTTGCCATTAGCACCATTGCCGCTTCCATTAACGCCATTTCCATTGCCGTTGTATCCGTTTCCGTTGCCATTCAGGGCACTTCTTCCATTGCCGTTACCATTTGCACCGTTGCCATTGTATCCGTTTCCGTTGCCATTAACGCCATTGCCGTTGCCATTGTATCCGTTTCCGTTGCCATTAGCGCCATTGCCGTTGCCATTTGCACCATTGCCATTGTATCCGTTTCCGTTGCCATTGTATCCGTTTCCGTTGCCATTTGCACCATTGCTATTGTATCCGTTTCCGTTGCCATTAGCGCCATTGCCGTTGCCATTTGCACCATTGCCATTGTATCCGTTTCCGTTGCCATTAGCGCCATTGCCATTTGCACCATTACCATTGTATCCGTTTCCGTTGCCATTTGCACCATTGCCATTGTGTCCATTTCCATTACCATTGTACCCGTTTCCATTGCCATTCAGGGCACTTCTTCCATTGCCGTTGTATCCGTTTCCGTTGCCGTTAACACCATTGCCGTTGCCATTACCATTTGCACCATTGCCGTTATATCCGTTTCCATTGCCATTGAGTGAGCTTCTTCCATACCCATTGCCGTTGAGACCATTTCCATTGGCACCGTTCGCTCCATTGCCATTAGCAGCATAGCCGTTCCTGCCATTGCCATTGGAGACTCCGTTGCCGTTGCCATTAGCACTGACGCCGTTGCCATTTGAGCGATATCCGTTTCCATTGGTGGCTCCATTGCCATTCTTTCCGTTGCCATTGGAAGCGTATCCATTAGCTCCGTTCCTTCCGTTTCCGTTGGCTCCGTTGCCGTTGGCTCCATATCCGTTTCCGTTTCCGTTGAGGATGCCGTTGGTGGCGGCAGCATAGGCATAACCGGCGTCGGGAACGACTCCGATGAGTTCGTTGACGGAGTAGAAGCTCTCAGCTTGAGAACAGTCCACGTTGAACCACCAGTCACATACCAGGTACTGCTGGTTGAAGATGGTACCGTTGGGGCACAGGAACGAGTCCTGTTGGCGCCTGAGGGCGCGGTCCTGGCAGATATGGAACACCTGGCAGCCGGCTTCAGCTGCAGTATCGGCGTAATAACCTTGCACCGCTACGGCATCGCACGAGAACCCGGTGTCGGGCACGGAAGCCAAGATGGGGTAGTCCTCGCCGGGGACGCCGCCCCCGGGAATGTTCTCGGCCAAAGCGGCAATCTCAGGGTCTACTCCGTAGGCGCCGTTGGGTGTGCCATAGGTGTTGCTTGGTGCAGAGTAACCATTACTTGGGGCACCAAAACCGTTGTTTGAGGCTCCGTTGAGAGCTCCAAAACCGTTTGAGAATCCTCCGTCCGGGGCTCCATAGGAAGTGGATGGCAATACCTCGGCCGATGCAATGGCCACCAGACCTGGAAGAGAGACTGAATTTTAAAAATCCCATGGATTGTGCAGCAGTTAATCTCCACATAACCACAATGCAGTGATCGCTTGTGGTTCATCATATAACTCACCGAACAAGATGGCTATTCTCATGGTTACTCCTCAGAACAAAATCTGGAAGACGAGCAAAAGTTTGAGAATATTTCCAGAGACGAGGAGGGGAAGACGATGGAGAAATCTGTCTGCATTTGGGCTTTATACCCTGGATCTCCTGTAGCTCCGCCCACTGCCCCACTCTCTCTTTACCCTGTTTTATATCAACTTCTATTGCTACTTGTTCTTTTGCTATTGTTGATATTGCTGTGGATATTGTTCTTGTATGTCCTTCATTATCTTTATCATTGTTATCATTATCATTGCCACCATTAGAAATTGTCATTAATAAATGATTATTACTGTTACTATTAACATTAATATTATCATTGTCATCGTCATCATTACTACCATTATTTGTTATAACTACTAATTGTATTATTACCGTTATTATTATTACTACTATTAGTAGTAATAATCTTATTAATATCTTATTACTATTATCATTATCATTATTACTATTATTTTTATTAGTGTTTTTAATGTCATTACATTTTTTTTATTATCATTTATATTATTGTTATTCTACATCTTATTATCATTATCATTATTACTATCGCTACTACTCTTATTATTGTGCTTGATTGATATATATATATATATATATATGTCCTTCATATATATATATATATATATATATATATATATATATATGTATATACGCGCACACACACACATATACATATACATACATATATATGCGTGTGTGAATAGAATTGATTAAGTGTACATCGATGCATAAACAGTTAAAAGGAAAATAATGTGCCTTTAAGTAGTAAAAGTTGTTGATTTCTTCTTGTTCAGTTTAATGAGAATCTTACCTCAAAAGATTTTTTCCAACTAAAGAAATTGTATTTTATTTATACCAAGTTTTCAATTAGTTAGTCACATAACAAACAAAATTAAATAAAAATCCCAATATCACCGTCATTAAACAAGTTAGATTTTTATCATCAACCCTAAATTCTAAATAAAATTCAACAATATGGCAGAAACACCCGACTATAATAGTGTAAACAACAACAGCAACAATGCATAAGTGACTTTCTAAAGAGAAAAGTGAATTTCCAGGAAGACAAAGCCTGTCACATGACACAGGTATTACTCGGTTATTTCATTAGTCTGCATGAAATAGTCAAACAGTGCGGGCTAGGTATAACAATGATGATTTTAATCCTTACAGTGCTGACTTATTTTCGTGAAAAAATTATCAGTATTACTTGTAGTCTCTGTTATCCCACGTTCTGGCTCCTTCTGCAGCCAGACCATGGAGTAACTGAGACTACAAGAAATGCTGGTCATAGTCATCAAATGGAATTTCATAACAAATGCGACATAGGTGTCACGCGTTGGATTTCTTGCTGACATTACCTCTAGGTTTGGAATTGGTGTTCTGTCAGAGAAACTTTCAGAAAGTGGATAAACCTGAGACTTTATCTGACAGACTGTCAGATAAAGTTATTGCCTATTATCCAGCAGTAACCATAAAAGTAACTTCAATAATTAACAGTGTAATGAAAACTAATCACATCTCAGGGGCTTCCAACAAATAAACAAAATAATTTACTTGGACAGAAGATAATAGTCACTTCTACTCTTTATATGACTATTTGCTGATGAAGATTTAATGCTGTCTATCCTTCTGTAGTACTCAGCCTTTGGGATAAGATATTTCTCGCTTTCTTCGTAACATTTGAACAGCTCACTCTTGAATCTCTCTTCAATACTCTCAGAAGCCATCTTGAACTTTCAGCGATACCAATATAAAACAACTCATGGGCATGAATAAAAAAAAAAAAAAAAAATACATTTTCTGATTTCATAGTCTTACTGAAGCCATCCAGTAAGACAGTGGAAAAGCAAGGATAATATTTCAGTGATTTCGTGAATTTCCTAGATATCGCCGAGTGAAACAGTGATTTCATGAATTTAGTGAAAATTTTAAGGATTTCGTGAAATCCCTGCAACTTTACTGTAACTTATATATATATATATATATATATATATATATATATATATATATATATGTATATATATATGTATATATACTTTCAAATTCATATGTATGTAAACATATGATGATTACTATCATCATTATCATTGTTATTACCATTATTATTTGATGCAAGTACCGTGCATTGCAGTAATTAATGCACATTTATTATTTACACGACTATTCGAAGGAAGGTAGGGGAGGGTGGGGGGAGGGGGAGGGGGAGAAGGGGGGGATGGGGCTGAAAGAGAAAAGGGAGAAGGAAATGGGGGAACAGAAGGGAAACGGAGGAGACTTGAAGAGAAAAGGGAAATGGGTAGTGGGAAAGGGAGGGGAAACAGAAGAAATGGAGAGGGAAGGGGATAAGGGTGCGAAGGAAATGGGGGAGGGAGGAGGAGGGAAGTGGGAGGGGCAGATTAAAGGGAAGCTTAAAGGGAATTCAAGGAAGATCTGGGAATGAGAGGGGGCGGCAGAGCGGGAAATGGAAATGAAAGAAGGAGGAGGAGAGGGAATGGAAGAGGGAAATGGGAGAACAAAAGGTAGAAAGAGGAGGGTGAAAGAGGGAAAGAGGAGTATCTCTTATTTGTTATTATTGTTATTTTTTAAATTTCGGAGATTTTCCCCTGGTCCCGCTAGTATATATAGATGTATATTTATATATATGGCCACACACACACACACATATAAACACAAATATGTGTGTGTAAATATATATTTATAGATAAATTGATAAATAAATACACACACACACACACACATATATATATATATATATAACACACACATATATGTGTGCTTATATATATATATATACATACATATATATATATATATATATATATATATATATATACATATTTAACATATAAGTCTCTCTCTCTCTTTCTATATATGTATACACATTCACATAAGTGGCACTCATTATAGGTTTCTGCTGAGCCACTTCTGCTTCTCGTAGGGGCCGCAATTTCACATGCATAATAATACACATCTCTACAGGTCACGTGTTGATTCAGCCCTTAACTCGTAACACGTTGTTTTTGTTACAGAGGTGCAGGTGCAGTTAAGTGTGAAAATGGAATCAGTGGAGTATCGAGCAGTGATCAGGTTTTATACATTAATGGCCGCACATCACGACAGTCCCTCGATGAAATGAAAGCAACTTATGGGGAGGATGCCTGTTCATTTCACTTTTTGACTATTGCCATCGCCAGGGCAGTTGTGGTCGGAGATCTGTGGAGACGGCTCCTATCCCAGGGCGACCCCAGTCTATCACTGATGAGGACATCATCCATCAAGCTGAGACTGCCATTTAGGAAAATCGCTGTATTATTGTTCGTCAGGTAGCCCAAGATGTCAATGATAGTCTTGGGTCTGTGGATAAGATTATTCATGACCATATGCATACGTTGTCTGCTTGATGGGTTCCCGGGGTACGAGTCCAAGGTCTTTGCCATATATATATATATATATATATATATATATATATATATGTTGTAAAGGGATTATATAACATATTTTCCATGTTGTATAAATGAATTTGTATGTGATATCGGGGTTATAGTAAGATGATCTTATTAACCCTATTATAAAAAAACTCGCATAATATTGTTAATATTTATACAGATTAATTATGTATAATTTGTTTATTTTTTGTTTTTTGTATAAAAGTTAGTTCCTCGTACCCCCTTTGTTGTAATGCGCATGCGCGTAGGTGTGCCTCACCTGGTTTTTCTTTGTCATGTTAGCGGTCACTTTGCCATACCTCTTGTTCGAGTGAACACTGTGACCCGCGCCTCGTGAGTACGAAAGCCTTTTCTGAAAACGCTAATTCGCATAGCGTGGCATATAGTAGGTGTCTTTAATTCATTATATTTATCTTTATGTCTTGTTTTCAGTCACTTTATGTTATACATGGCTTTGCTGACGCCAGGCGCCACGATATTTTGCCACACGTGCCCCCGAGGTTAATCGGAGCAGCGCCAAGCTTAAACAAGCTCCGTGACACCTGGGCCGTTTGATACGCTTGCTCGGGACGTGGATATTTACATTGTAAATTTTTGTTTGTCTATTTGTTTATAATTGTAAATATATGGTGATGGTTATATCCTCTTTTTATACCCCCCTTTTTAATGATATTGATAAGATAATTAAGTGATGTGATGAATCCAATGACGAAATGTCACCATTTTAACAAAAGATCCTTTACACACACACACACACACACACACACACACACACATATATATATATATATGTATATATATATATATATATATATATATAAACATACATACGTACATACATATATATATATATATATATATATATATATATATACATACATATACACACACACACTTATATATACTTACATATGCAGACACATATATGCTTATATATATATATATATATATATATATATATATATAGAGAGAGAGAGAGAGAGAGAGAGAGATTAGTTCCCAGCAAAAAAAAAAAAAAAAAAAAAAGTCTTTTGCAACCGTTTGGAATTAACATTTCAGCCAAAATATCTCAACTGTCAATAAATCAAGTGCCGTCATTCTATTGATGAAACCCAATTTCAACTCGATATATCCATATCAACAAGAAATTGTATATTAGCACTGCCAAAATAACAACAGAACCCACACACCACCATGCCTCCCGTTTAGCAGCACTGGGACCATAAAACAAAATAGTCGTGCGATTTTTATTCTTGCAAAAATATATAATCTTTTCGAGCATCAAAAATATACATAATTTAGGGAGATCCCGTGAGGATTCCGGGGAGGGAGGCGTCGATCTCGCTCAGGACTCAGAGGGGGGCGCCGTAGGAGGCCGAGGGGGCGCTGGCGACGCCGTTGGTGCTGGGGGGCAAGGGTGAGGCGCCGTTGCCATTGCCGTTGCCATTCAGACCGCTTCTTCCATTGCCGTTGAGCTTGCCATTAGCACCATTGCCGCTTCCATTAACGCCATTTCCATTGCCGTTGTATCCGTTTCCGTTGCCATTCAGGGCACTTCTTCCATTGCCGTTACCATTTGCACCGTTGCCATTGTATCCGTTTCCGTTGCCATTAGCGCCATTGCCGTTGCCATTTGCACCGTTGCCATTGTATCCGTTTCCGTTGCCATTAGCGCCATTGCCGTTGCCATTTGCACCGTTGCCATTGTATCCGTTTCCGTTGCCATTAGCGCCATTGCCGTTGCCATTTGCACCGTTGCCATTGTATCCGTTTCCGTTGCCATTGTATCCGTTTCCGTTGCCATTAGCGCCATTGCCGTTGCCATTTGCACCATTGCCATTGTATCCGTTTCCGTTGCCATTAGCGCCATTGCCGTTGCCATTTGCACCGTTGCCATTGTATCCGTTTCCGTTGCCATTGTATCCGTTTCCGTTGCCATTAGCGCCATTGCCGTTGCCATTTGCACCGTTGCCATTGTATCCGTTTCCGTTGCCCTTGTATCCGTTTCCGTTGCCATTAGCGCCATTGCCGTTGCCATTTGCACCATTGCCATTGTATCCGTTTCCGTTGCCATTAACACCATTCCCGTTCCCATTTGCGCCATTGCGACTGTATCCGTTTCCGTTGCCATTTGCACCATTGCCGTTGCCATTACCATTGTACCCGTTTCCATTGCCATTTAGGGCACTTCTTCCATTACCGTTTACACCATTGCCGTTGTATCCGTTTCCGTTGCCGTTAACACCATTGCCGTTGCCATTACCGTTTACACCATTGCCGTTGCCATTACCATTTGCACCATTGCCGTTATATCCGTTTCCATTTCCATTGCCAGTGAGTGAGCTTCTTCCATACCCATTGCCGTTGAGACCATTTCCATTGGCACCGTTCGCTCCATTGCCATTAGCAGCATAGCCGTTCCTGCCATTGCCATTGGAGACTCCGTTGCCGTTGCCATTAGCACTGACGCCGTTGCCATTTGAGCGATATCTGTTTCCATTGGTGGCTCCATTGCCATTCCTTCCGTTGCCAATGGAAGCGTATCCATTAGCTCCGTTCCTTCCGTTTCCGTTGGCTCCGTTGCCGTTGGCTCCATATCCGTTTCCGTTTCCGTTGAGGATGCCGTTGGTGGCGGCAGCATAAGCATAACCGGCGTCGGGAACGACTCCGATGAGTTCGTTGACGGAGTAGAAGCTCTCAGCTTGAGAACAGTCCACGTTGAACCACCAGTCACATACCAGGTACTGCTGGTTGAAGATGGTACCGTTGGGGCACAGGAACGAGTCCTGTTGGCGCCTGAGGGCGCGGTCCTGGCAGATATGGAACACCTGGCAGCCGGCTTCAGCTGCAGTGTCGGCGTAATAACCTTGCACCGCTACGGCATCGCAGGAGAAGCCGGTGTCGGGCACGGAAGCCAAGATGGGGTAGTCCTCGCCGGGGACGCCGCCCCCGGGAATGTTCTCGGACAAAGCGGCAATCTCAGGGTCTACTCCGTAGGCGCCGTTGGGCGTGCCATAGGTGTTGCTTGGTGCAGAGTAACCATTACTTGGGGCACCAAAACCGTTGTTTGAGGCTCCGTTGAGAGCTCCAAAACCGTTTGAGAATCCTCCGTCCGGGGCTCCATAGGAGGTGGATGGCAATACCTCGGCCGATGCAATGGCCACCAGACCTGGAAGAGAGACTGAATTTTAAAAATCCCATGGATTGTGCAGCAGTTAATCTCCACATAACCACAATGCAGTGATCGCTTGTGGTTCATCATATAACTCACCGAACAAGATGGCTATTCTCATGGTTACTCCTCAGAACAATATCTGGAAGACGAGCAAAGGTTAGAGAATATTTCCAGAGACGAGGAGGGGAAGACGATGGAGAAATCTGTCTGCATTTGGGCTTTATACCCTGGATCTCCTGTAGCTCCGCCCACTGCCCCACTCTCTCTTTACCCTGTTTTATATCAACTTCTATTGCTTCTTGTTCTTTTGCTATTGTTGATATTGCTGTGGATATTGTTCTTGTATATGTCCTTCATTATCTTTATCATTGTTGATATCATTATCATTGCCACCATTAAATATTGTCATTAATAAATGATTATTACTGTTACTATTAACATTAATATGATCATTAGCATCATCATTACTACCATTATTTGTTATAACTACTAATTGGATTATTACTGTTATTATTATTATTACTATTAGTAGTAATAATCTTATTAATATCCTTATTACTATTATCATTATCATTATTACTATTATTTTTATTAGTGTTTTTAATGTCATTACATTTTTTCATTATCATTTATATTATTGTTATTCTACATCTTGTTATTATCATTATCATTATTACTATCGCTACTACTCTTATTATTGTGCTTGATTGATATATATATATATATATGTAAGCGCACACACACACACACATATACATATACATACATATATATGTGTGTGTGTGAATAGAATTGATTAAGTGTACATCGATGCATAAACAGTTAAAAGGAAAATAATGTGCCTTTAAGTAGTGAAAGTTGTTGATTTCTTCTTGTTCAGTTTAATGAGAATCTTACCTCAAAAGATTTTTTCCAACTAAAGAAATTGTATTTTATTTATACCAAGTTTTCAATTAGTTAGTCACATAACAAACAAAATTAAATAAAAATCCCAATATCACCATTAAACAACAAGTTAGATTTTTATCATCAACCCTAAATTCTAAATAAAATTCAACAATATGGCAGAAACACCCGACCATAATAGTGTAAACAACAACAGCAACAATGCATAAGTGACTTTCTAAAGAGAAAAGTGAATTTCCAGGAAGACAAAGCCTGTCACATGACAGGTATTACTCGGTTATTTCATTAGTCTGCATGAAATAGTCAAACAGTGCGGGCTAGGTATAACAATGATGATTTTAATCCTTACAGTGACTTATTTTCATGAAAAAATTGATCAGTATTACTTGTAGTCTCTGTTACCCCACGTTCTGGCTCCTTCTGCAGCCAGACCATGGAGTAACTGAGACTACAAGAAATGCTGGTCATAGTCATCAAATGGAATTTCATAACAAATGCGACATAGGTGTCACGCGTTGGATTTCTTGCTGACATTACCTTTAGGTTTGGAATTGGTGTTCTGTCAGAGAAACTTTCAGAAAGTGGATAAACCTGAGACTTTATCTGACAGACTATCAGATAAAGAAAGTTAATATTATTGCCTATTATCCAGCAGTAACCATAAAAGTAACTTCAATAATTAACAGTGTAATGAAAACTAATCACATCTCAGGGGCTTCCAACAAATAAACAAAATAATTTATTTGGACAGAAGATAATAGTCACTTCTACTCTTTATATGACTATTTGCTGATGAAGATTTAATGCTGTCTATCCTTCTGTAGTACTCAGCCTTTGGGATAAGATATTTCTCGCTTTCTTCGTAACATTTGAACAGCTCACTCTTGAATCTCTCTTTAATACTCTCAGAAGCCATCTTGGACTTTCAGCGATACCAATATAAAGCAACTCATGGGCATGAATTAAAAAAAAAAAAAAAAAAAAAAACATTTTCCGATTTCATAGTCTTACTGAAGCCATCCAGTAAGACAGTGGAAAAGCAAGGATAATATTTCAGGGATTTCGTGAATTTCCTAGATATTTCAGTAAATTCACGAAATCGCCGAGTGAAACAGTGATTTCATGAATTTAGTGAAAATTTTAAGGATTTCACATGCATAATAATACATATCTCTACAGGTCACGTGTTGATTCAGCCCTTAACTCATAGCACGTTTTTTGTTACAGAGGTGAAGGTGCAGTCAGGTGTGAAAATGGAATCAGTGGAGTATCGAGCAGTGATCAGGTTTTATACATTAATGCCGCACATCACGACAGTCCCTCGATGAAATGAAAGCAACTTATGGGGATGATGCCTGTTCATTTCACTTTTTGACTATTGCCATCGCCAGGGCAGTTGTGGTCGGAGATCTGTGGAGACGGCTCCTATCCCAGGGCGACCCCAGTCTATCACTGATGAGGACATCATCCATCAAGCTGAGACTGCCATTTAGGAAAATTGCTGTATTATTGTTCGTCAGGTAGCCCAAGATGTCAATGATAGTGTTGGGTCTGTGGATAAGATTATTCATGACCATATGCATACGTTGTCTGCTTGATGGGTTCCCGGGGTACGAGTCCAAGGTCTTTGCCATATATATATATTTATATATATATATATATATATATATATATATATATATATATATATATATATATATATATATATATATACACACACATACGTAAATACATTCATACATACATACATATATATATACATATATATATATACACATACATATACACACACACACACACTTATATATACTTACATATGCTGACACACATATACACACATATATGCTTATATATATAGATAGATAGATAGATTGATAGATAGACAGATAGATAGATAAATAGATATTGTTTATGACTATAGAATTGTAAGCTTGTGGAATTTATAATAAATCTAGAATATTGACAAACATCGAGAGATCAAAGCGATTATTCTTATCTGTGGATAAGATTATTCATGACCACATGCATACGTTGTCTGCTTGATGGGTTCCCGGGGTACGAGTCCAAGGCTCTTTGCCATATATATATATATATATATACACACACACACATACGTACATACATACATACATACATATATATATATATATATATATATATATATATATATATACATACACACACATACACACATACATATACACACACACACACACACACTTATATATACTTACATATGCTGACACACATATACACACATATATGCTTATATATATATAGA